TTTTAATATATCATGCTTTCACTTGTGCTTTCATGTATATATGTTCTTGACTCTAGGAATGACACTAAGGAGTATGCTCAATTCCAAGAAGGCTTCATGATGATTCTTTGACACAAGAGATTCATGATAAGCTTAATTTCTAGGGTTAATTTTATTATAAATATTATATTTAGTTATATGTTACTAGTTTAGACTAGTTTAGATGTGTTTTGATAAATATTAGGCTAATGTTACAGTTTTTATTAATATAAATAAGAGTTCTATTTTATCTATAGGATTAAATTTATTTAGTAATTTTATTTCTTCAACTTAAGTGTTTTAATTATTTAGGTTTAATTAATTTGTGTCATTAGGTTTTAATTGTTTTTATTTCAACTTAATTTTTGTTTTTGCTTTTAGGGGACTTGCGCAACAGTAAAGAAAAAGAAAAGGGATTATATATTAAGTTGGGGGTTATTTTTGTTTTAGGCATTAGGGAGTCGGCAGATTAGATACGAAACAGAGAGAAAAAAGAGAGAGCTTGGAAGCGGTAGCGCATCAGCGAGGAGAAACTGCAGCAGCAGCGAAGAGATTCTAAGGCTTCGTCGCAATGGAATTTTGAGCCTCAATCTCAGCTATCTCCTTAGGCTTGATTACTTTTCTTCGTATCATTCTCCTATTCTGTCAGTTATTTATTTAAATTTCTAGAATAGTATTTCGTGAATAGCTATACGTTGAATTATGATTATTGGCTAGAACTTTAATTAGAGATTTGGATTAGCCTATATTGGATTAATTGACTATTTTTCATGTGTTGATTCTTCCAATTTCAATTTAATAATTGAACTTGATTATATTTATTTTATGTATTTTAATTGTGGATTGTGTGACTGGCCATTGCATAATTCTAATATTAGGGTTCATAAGAAGAACTGACAGGTGAATTATGAACTTAGAACTCGTAAGATAAACATAATTGACATAAACTAGACATAGCTTTAGGTATTTGTGGTGATATTTGATTGTTGCTTAATGGGTTCAATTAATGTTGGTGAGATATCGACGGATGATCACAGTTAATTGGATACAACCTAGTAGCTCGACGGAGTATTAGGATATATATGAAGCAATTGTCACTATAATCATAAGAATTAATACTTAGGAGAGTTAGTTAATTATCTAATAGGTGAACCCAAATCCCTAGTCTTCTCTCAATTGAAAGTTTTCCTTTGCTTTAAATTCATAAAATATTCTTTTAAAATACATTCATTCTATTTATTTGTGTTTTTCCTTATCAACCAATTGATTATTCAAGACAACAGTTAGTAGTGTTCTTCGTGGGATCGACCCTGGAATACTCCTGGAATTTATACTGTGATTGACTCTGTGCGCTTGCAGATTATAGCAATCAATTCATTAAGGGAGTCTCATCTACCTTATCTACTTTCTTTAATTGTGTATAATGTTTTACTTGGTGTTGATAGTAGAGATTGTGCTCCTTGTGCTTATTGTGCTATCATTTCCCCTTGTTCTTTGTTGTCTTTCACATCGAGGACGATGCAGCCTTTAAGTGTGGGGGAGGGGATAATTTGGGTTTTTTTTTTTTTTTTTTTTTTTTTTTTTTTTTTTTTTTTTTTTTCTAAAAAAATTGAAATTTTTGAAACTTTGCTTGGATGACTCATTATGCATAGTGTTTGGTAAATTACCTTTCCTTGCTTGAAGTTGTGATTACTCCCTTTTTGTTGGTTTGTGGTTTGTTTTGGTGGAACTTGTTGCAATTCAACTTGTGATTGACGAGCCAAGGGAGTAACTCATGATTGATCTATTCTCTTGTCAATACCCTTGTTAATCACTTAATAATTGAATAAATTCTTGATCTAGTGTGTTGTGCATTGCTAGTGAAGGCTTATGTGAGATTCTGGTTATGGTTGTTTTGCTAAACCTTGCCTCATTACTCTCCAAGTGAAGTCTAAGATTTGCATGTTTAGAAATGATTTAGGCCATTTTTGTTTAGCCCGAGCCTTTCAAGCCTACCCTTTACACATGTGTTTACCGCTAGTTGTCCCCGTTGAGCCTTTTGTGTTTGTTTAATAAGTTCTAAGCACTTGTTCCTTCATTGTGATTGTTTTTCCTTGTGTTAACCCTCATCATTTAACCCTTAAACCCCTAGCCAAAATGTTTCCCTCCACCCTTGAGCATGGTTGCTGTAGGCGCTAGGCACTAGTCGGCGCCCGGGTAGCGCCTAGCGCTTAGGCGAAATCTAGGCGGGAGCAAAAAAACAGTGGCAGACTTGCAATTTGACAATTTTAATGAGGATGTTTTCAACATTAAATCAAATAACACATCCAAATAAATGAAATAATGATAATTCATAAGTCATAACATCAAAACAATAGTAAAAATTTAAAATACTCAAATATGAAATACTCAAATACTTCAATCATCCAAAGATTCAAAGTATCAAACTAGTATACGGGTGTATATATGTCATATTATATATATATATATAATGAAAAAAAATTAGCAAGGCCGAGCTGACGGGGTTAACTCGATCGAAATGGACGAGTTAACTCGGCCAAGTTAGACGCTAGGTGGCTGCCTAGGTGGCCAAGTCGGCCGAGTTAGGCGCTAGGCGGACGCCTAGGCGGGCGCCTAGGGGAGAAATTACCACGGTCTAGGGGCGCCTAGCGCCTAGGGGGGGTATAGGCAGGCGCCTAGACCGATTTTCGCAATAGTGCCCTTGAGAGAATAGAGCATTTATTCTTTTCTTTGAAGAGATCTTTATTGGAGCTTGTCTTGTTAGCAATCCTCTTGATAATTTTGTCTAAGTGTGGGGGTATTGGTTCATGGAATAAGTTCGTTTATTGTTCTGAAATAAAGAAAAGAAAAAAAAAGAATGTTGAGAAAATTGAGAAAAAAGTCATGAAAAAGAGATGAATTGAGAAAAATGAAAAGAAAAGAAGAAGAATAAAAGTTTGAAGTTTGTTTTGAGAGTTGTTATCAACCCCCACCATTTTAGAGGTTTATTTTGTCCTTAAGTCTTATTTGCTCCTTAGTCCATAGATGCCATATCTCTTCTAGTCCCAATTGTGAATAAATGTGAAGTTCTCTCCTTTGTTTTATTTCCATACCCATTCTTTGTTAGCCATTCACCATTAGCCCCATTACAAGCCTAATAAAGACCTATTTGATCTTAGCATGCAATCTTAGAGTTGAGCTAGTGGGATTATGAAGGGCAAGCCTATGGAATCTCATTCAAAGCCAAGTTTTGCATAATCTCAACTTAGCATTTGTGCACACTTGTTCCTCACGTACTTTAATAATTTTGGTGCTTGGTTATTGGCTTGAGAATGGAACTTGTGTGGAATGCAAAAATGATTCTTGAAACAAGTTGTGTTGTAACAAGTTGGATTGTGGTTGGATAGGTTGTGCAAAGTGGGAGTGTGATCAATTTCATTGCTAGGATGGTGATTTATTTCTTGTTTTTGCTTGAGGACAAGCAAATGTTTAAGTGTGGGGGAGTTGATAAGTGCATAATTGTTCATATTTATACCCCATATTTAGCCTTGTTTTTCTGATGAAGTGTCACAATGTTGTTCAAAATGAACTTTATTTTGCTCATTTGATCCATTATGCACAATTCATTATCTTTTACTAGAAATGAAGGATTTTAGATCATGTTGGATGCATTTGGAGTCAAGGGGAGCCAAGGTGAAGCTAAAGAGATGGATGCAACGCTTCCAAAGGGGCCAAAGAGTGATGTTTTCAATGGTGTTGATCATATGGACAAATTAAACCAAGACAAAAGTGGAACAAGTGTCAACATGCAAGCCGAAATTCTCGCGTGGATTGGCCACTGTTCTGTATTCGGGCCATATCTCGATCTAGGAGTATCCAAATTAAGTTATTCTTGTTCTATTGGAAAGAGGACTCAAAGGGCTACAATTCCTATAAATACATCAAAGCCTAAAAATGAAGCCACAGGGGTCAAAATTGTCCTTGAAGTTGAAGTTCCAAACATACAATCCAAAACTGACCACTATTTGGTTTTTGGACCATATATCGTCCTAGGAATGTCCAAATGAAGTGATTCTTGCGCCATTGGAAATAAGAATCAAATTTCTACAACTTTCATGAAGACTATAGTTCCAAATTCTGAACTTTTGAAGGCCAAAAGACACGGCCATGTGCATGGCCGTGTTAGTGGCCGTGTAATTTTTGTGCATTCCAGTAGCTACTGCCATTTTGGACACGGCTAGGGACATGGCCATGTCCCTGGCCGTGTCACTGTGCTCTGCCTTTTTTAAAGCACGATTTTTGGTCATTTCTACTTGGTTTTGACTCTTGTTAGAACCCTAGACACTCTCTTTCATTCTCCTTCATATTTTTAGGTTAGAATAGGCTTAGATTTATGTTTCTTAACACTTGCGAAGCTTGTAATCTTGGATTTGATGCTTGGATTCCAACATTTCAAGATTCCACCATCCATTTTCAATAGAGAAGCTTTCTTTCCCTTATCTCTTTCTTTTGCAAGATTTATGTTTAATGCTTGTGTTTTTGTGTTCTTTATGCTATTTAATCATGAGTAGTTAGTTTATGGACTTGAGTTAGGGTTGTATTATCTATCTTGATGCTTGATTTGTGATTATTGCAAAAAAGGGGAAGAACTCTAACCTAGGGTTCTTGAGTTTATGAAGAATTTGTGTTTGTATATTGTTAATGCTTGGTGTACAACATTCATTAGTTTTTTTTTTTTTTTTTTTTTTTTTTTTTTTTTTGGAGGATCCCTTGCCTCAACGAGAGTTGGGTGATGAATCCAAGCCACCCCTTGCATAGACCCGATTTCTTCGTACGAAAATAGGGGAAATTGGGGGCTTTAGATGCTTTGTTAGCTTGATGGACTTGGAATTGATTCACCACGAAAGTGGGGCAATTCCTTGTTCTAATCCTTGTTTATTAATCACGAGAATGGTTCGTAGACTAGGATACCTACGTGCATTCCCGCTTGATTCCTTGGTTACTTGTTCTCCCTAATCCCTTAGGTTGTTAAAACATCTAGATGATAATGCTCCCTAGCTTGAGTCCTATTTCTTTATTTGAGTTAATACCAGTCAAGGTCCCTCGAGTATAGTGGTTCCGCCACCTATAGTCCTAAACTTTCAAATTGACCATTCGTGATCCTTCGAGTTTCAAAATTGACCTACAGTAGTACTTCCATTAAGTTTCTCTGTTCCAGCTGTGAAATCTAGGGGCATAATGGTCATTTCATTTATTTCCCACTCAATACACATTTTTTTGATACACTCATTACACATTAATTTGATTAGAAAATTAAATAACCCACCACCCGCCGTGAGACGATTCTTGAATTATTGGCGGATGGGCTGAAGATTCACCCCAAGAATGTGTTCAATAGGTTGCTGGGATGAAGAGAGCGGTGGTGGGTGGGGCGTCAAGCGGCGGCAGCGCCATGGTCGGCAGTTTGAAGCGGTGGAAGGATATTTTTAAGAAAGGGGAGAAGAAGGAGAAGAAGAGAGCGATTGATGAGAATGTGAAGGGCAGCGTGGTTGGACCTAACGAGGTGAGCGCGGCGGAGCTGAACATAAATATCTTGGCGTTTTCGCGAAGCAGATCGGCAGGGAATAGCGGGTCGTGGCCGCCGTTGGGGGCTGTTGGATCCGGGTTAACTCACCGGAAAGAGAGTAGCGCGCCGTGTTCGCGGAGTAACTCAGCGGGTGAATCCAACTCGAGAAAGTTGCCAACCAGCCCGGCTTGATCCGATGTCCACTTGGGCCGGAGTAGCTCGGTTTGGCAGGTCCGCCGTAGCGGCGGAGCCACCGCTCGATACAACGAAAATTTCTCAAAAGCCGGCAAACACACAGACTCACAAATCATATCTGTTCTAAGATCCAAATCTCACTCAAAAATGGCTGCTGGATTTCCATGACAGCTGATCAAACCTCCTTCGTCATCAACATCGGAAACTCTCATCAGGTCAACGCGCTTTACATTTTCATTTTCTGTTGTGCCGCCCCTAATTCACCCGTAAATTTCCTGCTTAAATTAAGAATTTTTTATTTTTTTTTTCTGCTTCCAACGTATATATGTTACCTGACATTCTGGGAAGGTTTTGTTTTTCTCTTGGTGGTTGCTTTCGGCGGCGGCGCTACTTAGTTCTCGGAGGAACCGGAGCCGGAGAGTCGTTCTTATCAGCTTCAGTCCGCATATCTTTGGAGTAGTTTTGTTGTTCTTTAATCTATAGCAACTACAAGGAGAAAATCATACGCATATCGTTGGCGAAAGTTGAAGATATGAACTTTCCGGCTAGCTTTCTACGCTCACAACCAGCTCCGATCAAGTTCTGACCGCAACCCAGATACTAAACCAAGCTACTTAGCAAAAATGGGTGGAAAATCAATGAAATGACTATTATGCCCTTAGATTTCACGGCAAAGATGGAGAAACTTAACGGAAGGACTACTCCATGTCATTTTTGAAACAAGGAGGATCACAAATGGTTGATTTGAAAATTTAGGACCATAGGTGGCGGAACCACTATACTCGAGGGACCTTGCCTGGTATTAACTCTTCTTTATTTTGTGTTTATCTTTGTGTATATGTGTTAGTCTTATCATTTCCTTAAACTTGTAGTTTGCTTAGCTTTTTGTTGATTTCCTTATGCTAGTGCCTAGTTTATTGCGATTGCATATTGCGTGCCTATCCCCCAATCCCCTGAGGACGACATTACACTACCCGAGCTCACATCTTATTTTTGCTACAATTAGAAAGCAAGTAAGAAAGAAGAGAAAAGCGAGTCAAGTGACTCAACAGAAAGATGAAAGAAAGAAAGCAAGTAAGAAAGAAGAGAAAAGCGAGTCAAGTGACTCAATAGAAAGGAAGAAGGAAAACAAGTAAGAAAGAAGAGAAAAGCGAGTCAAGTGACTCAACAGAGATCCTCCACTGAAAAAGTATTGCTTTTAATAAGAGTGAGAGTATAAGTATATATCTATATATATATATATATATATATATATATATATATATATATATATATATATATATATATATATATATATATATATATATATATATATATATATATATATATATAGAATAAAAATCATATAAGAACCCATTGTTAGGTAGGAACATAGTAACTAATCTAATCCATTTATTTGAATCAATCTATGGTGCAGATTTAATTGTTTTAAATTTTTTTGTTATGCGCTTGTTAGAGCCGTGTAGGGGTAATTTGGACAGTGGATATTGTCTTGCGTGCGGCAGTGAGAGTCTTTCGCTAGAATGTCGCTATCTCCCTTTCGCTGTAGGAGTTCACCGCAGGTAGTGTTCATAGTCCAACGTCGCTATCTCCCTTTCGTCGATTGACTTCCCATCTGAGATGGCTGGCACCGTTGCTCGGAACGCTAAGCGCGCACGTCCGCCGACCTCGTCGGCTGCTGTTCCAGGTCAGTTTTCACCTCTTTTTTTTTTTTTTTTTTTTTTTTTTTTTTTTTTTTTTTTTTTGAATTTCGGATTCGTATGGGTTTTGTGTGTGTGTTCTTTTTATATATGATTTGTGTATTTGTTTGATTTTTTTGTATTTGTTTAGCTGTGTTTTTGGTGTTTGAGAGTGGATTTCGGTGTTGGGTCTGTGATACTGCGTTAAATTTTTGTTATACTATATGTAGTTTACAAACAATCTGTTTGTATAAGATAGTGAAATTGAAGAGTAGCAGAAGATGTAGAGAATACTGTGGGCTTGAGGAGAGAGTATTGTGAATGCATAAAATGCTCTAACAATTTGTAGATGAAGTTATGAATAAATAGTTTCATGCTCGCTAAGTGTTCCATGTCACAAATAGCTACTGACAAGTTTTTACCTGGGTGTTTGGTTACAGATTTAATTGAAGAAAGAAGACGGTCCACCTAGTTTGGTGGACCAATGGAAGATTTGACTTTCATGAGGCTGGAAGGGTGATGTTGAATTAATCTGATGCAACTTGAAGCATTTTAAGGCAGTAAGTGATGCTCCTAAAATGGAGGCATAAGGATGGTTTATTTCTAGCCGCAATTTATGGGATTTGATTGGCAATAGCAAGAATAGAATGAAAGACTGGTATGGTGGGTTTGGATGTGGGGTTTCCGTCTAGTGTAGGTGGCTGTTGGGAGGTCGGGGGCAGTGTTGTGGGTTTTTTTTTCCGGTTATTATGGGGGGTTTTCATTACACTGTGTGTATTTTTGTACTTCTGTGTGTGCCCTTGTGGTGTGCTGAAGTTTGGCTGCGGTTATTGTGTGCATTTGTGATCATTCGCGTGTGCCTTCGTAGTATTTCAGAGTGGACTTTAGTCTATTAGTTTATGTGGACTTGGGATATGTTTTTTTTTTTTTTTTTTAAATTTTGAAATTAGTTGTCGCATTTGAAATAGTATTACGTTTAACATGTTTTTATTAATTTGTGGGTTGGTTGTTTATAAATCCTATATAGTTTATCCACGTTTTTGTGTTAGTATATTTAATGGTAATAATGTTTTTACAGAGTAAATATTTAGCAAGTACATCATTCATTTCTCTGAATAATTCTCTAATATCAGGTTTCGTGATGAGAGTCCTATGTGTTTAAAGTTTGAGCCTGTTAAAGAAGTATGTTGAAGTAGTTTCAAAAATAAACTAGGTGGGGGGTGGGGTCTTATATGTGTGTGTATTGGTGTTGTGTGGCATCTCAGTAGGTTGGTGCGTGCAATGGTCGGTGTATGTATCGGACTTTATAATGGTAATGTGTTTTGTTAGTATGCAGTTTTTTTCTTAAGTGTGTGCCCTTATGGTGTGTTCGTGGGTTGCTGGGTTTGCTGTGTGCAGTTTTGTTCTTATGTATGTGCATTTTAGGCCTGATATGTTGTCCTTTGGTTTGTCCAGAGTTTCAGGCTGAGGTTGTGGCACCTGGGCAGGTGGATGATGATGCTGAAGCTTCCGAGTATGAGTTGACTCCTGAGGAGGCTGCTTGTTTCGAGAGTTTGAAGACGAGGTGCTCTGCATGCATACTTGTTAATGCCCGTACGAAGTTCTCACGTAGGCAGCGTAGTGCAGTGTGTGATATGGGGTTTGGGAAGTTGCTAGACTTGGAGGTTATGGAGACTCCTGGACGGATGGGCCATTGGCTGTTAGAGAATTTTGACTTACAGACGATGCCTTTGCGATTGGGAAATGGTGTTTCGTTTCCTATTCATGAAGAGGATGTTGAGGCAACGCTTGGGCTTCCGAGAGGTCGAATCACGATTACCAAGCGTGGCAACAATGATGTTAGTGACTTTTTGCTGCTTTGGAGGGGTGAGTTTGGCACGACGTCAAGGATTGGTCGTTTGCGGGATGGGTGCGAGTGGTTTAAGCACCATTTTGCGACGGAGACCTTCGTGGGGCAATCGGTGAATGTGTGGGATTATGGTCTGGCAAAGGCGATAGTAGGGGCCTTGATTTATTGAGGGCAAGTTATATGCGTCAGATTCTGTCAGCTGAGTTAAACATACGCCATACAGAAAACATTCGAAGTGTATTGGAATACCGTGATTCTAGGTGTCAAACATAGATATGATTATTCATGTGTATCTAGATCATTATCTATTAAACTTTGTTAGTTTGGTATTTACTTATGGTACTAAGGAGCTAATTTTATTTATTCATCTAGCACATTTTGTCTTAACCAAAGGGTCTTCCATTTTACACTCTACGCGGGTTTAGATGTTATATATTTAAATAGGTGCACATACCCACACGAGTACGTGTTCAAGCGCTGCCTTGCGCGGGGGCCACTAAAATATTTATGTCACACCCTTTTGGACTCAGGTGCTATTCTTTTTTTTTTTTTTTTTTTTTTTTTTTGGATTTTTGTTGTTAATTTACTCAAGATCTTAGGGTTCTCGTGGAATCGCATGTGCACTGTACACTATCAGTGTGTGCACATAGTCACAGATGTTTGTGCTTGTTTGTGCATTACAACATCGTAGGGGGTGCCATTGTGGCCGAAATGTTCTGGTTC